CTCCTGCAAAATCCTTTCATGGGGTTTGTATGGCACTTGATAGGTTCAGACATGCAGGTACAGCATGTGTTCCCAACACAGACTTTATCCCTGTTTGAAGTACGCACACTGAGAGGAGGGAGGGGGCAAACAGACTGCTGGGATGCCAGTGAAGGGAGTGATGGTGTCACCAAGCAGCTCTTCACACAGACAGTGTACTTTATGTTCTGATAAAGCACACACTGCACAAGCACAGCACAAGTACAGTCAGTCAGCCTGGTTAGATTACTGAGCCGGACACGGCACAAGGTTTTTTTAAGATGCCAAAGTAAATATTTCCAGAAATTAGTGTGCAGTCAAGAATAAAACGATATTTTTTAAATGATGAAACATTTAGTACAGATTTTTTTATATGCATCTCCATGCTGTGAGCTTAAGGTGAGGACTTCAATGTTGTTAACATTTTACTTCTTTTATAAAGTGCAGTTTACTATCAATAATTAGCACAAATTTACTGTCCCGCCATTGCAGTAGACATGTACTTAACTCCCCTCCTTTTCTCTGCCTCATGCTAGAATGTATAACTCTGTTAAATTAAACATAACATTTGTGTTTTGCTTTTGCGCACTTTTCTTTTCTCAATATTGTGAAGCCAGTCTTATCACCCCGAAAATGTTATGTTATCTAATTAAAATGACTCAAATTACCCAAGCCATTTGCAACTTGTTCTCAAAGAAGAGATTTAAAAACCTTCAACGAGACGCAGGAGAGACGTCAGCACTCGAGCACAGCAGATGAATCTGACAGACGGACTTGACCCCTGCAGTTTGCCTATACCAGACACAGACTGTAGCAAATGTTGCAATCATCTATCTCATCATCTAGGACCTTTTCCCAGCGGGATAAGTCTGGCAGCACGATCAAAATCATATGCTCTGACTTTTAAAGCACCTTCAACACAGTCCAGACCCTGTGGGTGGGAAACAAGCTCATAGAGATGCAGATGGTCGCCCCAAAGGTGTCCTGGATCATAAATCATCTCACAGGTGTTACAGTTGGTCAACCTACAGCCATTTGTGTTCATTATTAACAATACAGTATGACTCTCTATCTTTGTCACCTAATCAGACCTTTAGAAAAGAGTGACCTAAAGAGTGTTATGGTAACTTTTGATTAAGCTTTTAAGCACCTATAGCAACCCATATTTTTCTTCATTTGGATAGTCCTCTATTCGCCAGTCAAGCATAGATCACAATATCAAGAGAGGTTTATATGTTATTTGACAACATACGGGGATTACCTTTACAGCAATTTCACCATTGATTGCTTTTTTACAGACAGAACGTCCACTCTATATTTTCCGTTTGCTATTTTGTATTTCCCAAGCTCATACCCTTTATTTGTCTTCATTAAAGTGGTATTGCCTTACCTTTTGTAAATATAGATGTATTGTTAATGTGACCTTTTGCAAATACTGTGAATAAAGAGAATACAGTTGTCATTTGATATACCTTAAAAAAAGCATGCAGTGTGAGTAAGTCATGTAATGATAATACAGTAAATATTAAAGAGGACGTTTTTATGTTGAGAGTGGATTTATTTGTCAACAGTTGTATAAGACATAATGGAATATAAATTGTATTTTGTTATTTTATCTCACTTTGACTGTAAGCATGATATGTGCACACAATTATTGTTATATATAATTGATTATTTCATAGCCTGATAAATGATAAGGTGGAGGCTGAATGATTGTTCACTATCTGTTATGCTACGCACGAAATTCTTTATTATTCCGCCGGGTTATTTTGCACCTCTTCTTCTCCCACATTCCACATCGCAGAAACTCTGTTCAAACATCAAAACGTTCAGCTCGGTCGGGAATTGATGGCTATTACTTTTCTTATTCATAACTTTCATAATTCCAGAGATACATCCCATAATTCATCAGATTTTTAACAAGTAAATAGAGAAACTCTTCAGACTCGAACAATCCTCATGCAACTTCAACTGCTAACTGCTCCTTCATACTTTCACTCAGAAACCTCATTCCAACTTTAAAATGTTACATATGATATTATTCGTGTAACACAACTTTTAAATCGGATTCATACTTTTAGAAATATTAAACATTGTTCAGACCTTGGTAAAGAGGCCTTCTTCAGATTTGAGTGCGTGATGTCACAGCTAGAGTGGAGGACAGATTTAATTTTGCCTTCATATTTTCTTTTAAACCGGCCATAATTCCCAAACCCTACATTCCTTAGACATCATTATTCATGAGAAACGTAGGAAAATATCTCGTAGCTTGAAAAATTAAAAAGAATTAAGCAAAAGAATTAAACAAAATGCCTCTTGGGGGCATGAAGTGACAACAACTTTTAACATGCATCCATAAACCCCATTGAAAATTCAGCCTCATCTTTCCCCACCACAGCAGCCGCACCTTTAGTTAATCTGCGAAAAAAGGCCACATTGTTAACCCGAAAGTATTTCACCGGTATCTGTTACGGTTCTTCAACAAAACGTTCACATGTAAGAGGTTTATCTCTCATTCAGAACAATGAAAATGCTCTCCTCTCACTGATTACCATGGAAACCTTTGATCTCTGGACACGTCGTTAGCTCAAATATAAACACCTTTGTCATGGAACACGATGATGTCATAACTCCAACTGACATGCTCAGAGCAGCAGACTTCAGATAATGGTTAATGGTTCTGCCCTCAACAGCTCTACGTCAATTATGGGGTGTCATCATATCAGAGTCCTGCACGGGTCTGATTTTCAAGACAAGCTCCCGCTCTGCACCCGCGACGTGCAATACCGAACCCGCCCCGCCACCCGCACATATTGCCAATTAGTTCCGCAAACCGACCCGACCCGTCGGCACAAGGTCCGCAAACCGACCCGAACCCGCATATCCTATGAGCAGTGAAAACATGCAATTATTAACACACGCAGTTAGATATTTGGCTTAAAAAGCATGGGATGTTGGTTATTTTCTCCATCTAGGATGACACCAAAAGCCTCCCAGACGTTGGATTTCGCTCTTGAGGAAGAGTTATTGAAAATGCTGTATTCTCCGCTAGAGAGCTTCATCTCAGCCATTTCGAATGTGGCGCGCTCAGCAGCAGTTTGATGCGCTGCAGAGGTTATGATTATGCGCGGTCCCGCGGGGGAGAGGTCTGAGGATTTAAACATTAAACTAAATTATTATTATTTTAATATATTTATTATGCAACACCCGCGACCCGACCTGCATCATCTTTGTTTTACCCGCGGGTACCCGACCCGATGCAGGACTCTGATCGAGACACATCTAATCACAATAATACTGACCACACAAGTTAACCACTGTTAACAAATTCGCACAGGCTTT